TTATCATTTTAAAAGGCTAATTGATCATTAGAAAATCCTTTTGCAATTATGTTAGCACAGCTGAAAACTGTTGTGCTGATTAAAGAAGCAATAAAACTGCCCTTCTTGAGACTAGTTGAGTATCTGGAGCATCAGCAATTGTGGATTCGATTACAGGCTCAAAATGTCCAGAAACAAATATCTTTCTTCTGAAACTCGTCAGTCTATTCTTGTTCTGAGAAATTAAGGCTATTCCATGCGAGAAATTGCCAAGAAACTGAAGATCTCGTACAACGCTGTGTACTACTCCCTTCACAGAACAGCGCAAACTGGCTCTAACCAGAATAGAAAGAGGAGTGGGAGGCCCCGGTGCACAACTGAGCAAGAGGACAAATACATTAGAGTGTCTAGTTTGAGAAACAGACGCCTCACAGGTGCTCAACTGGCAGCTTCATTAAATAGTACCCGCAAAACACCAGTCTCAACGTCAACAGTGAAGAGGCGACTCCGGGATGCTGACCTTCTAGGCAGAGTTGCAAAGAAAAAGCCATATCTCACACTGGCCAAATAAAATAAAATATTAAGATGGGCAGTCTGAGATATGGCTTTTCTTTAGAAAACAAGGACATTTCTATGTGACCCCAAAGTTTTGAACGGTAGTGTACATATTTCTATCAATAGACTTGATATTAGACATTTTACTATAGGTGTATGCTATGGAAGGCTTGACAGAAGGAACTAGAACAGTTGAGCAACATAGGCTGCTACAGTTTGGCACTGATAGGGTTGTCAGTATTCCCATAGTTGAGCTAAGAGGCATAGTATGTGGGAATGTGGCTGCGTCTCAACACACAGAGCTTTTCTTGTAAGAATCACAGCATTTAATGAGTGACACGTTACTCAGAGTATCCCATTTTTGTCTGGGGGGGGGGGGGGGGGCTGAGCTCAAAGTAAACCACCATTCATACCAGAGGATGCTGGTGGGAGGAGTTATAGGAGGACTAGCTCATTGTAATGGCTGGAATGGAATGTGGTTTACATGTGTTTGATGTGTTGGATTAATTCCATTCCCACCATTACAATGAGCCCATCCTCCTATAACTCCTTCCACCAGCCTCCTCTGATTCAGCCTGAGCTTGCAGTAAACCGTGTTGATGTAGCACCCTCATGTGGTGTAAACATAGAACTGCTATCTGGCCGATGACAATACAAGGATGTATCCATGTAAAAACAAGAAGGGAGGGCCGGGAAAGTCATAACCTACAACAGAATGGCAGAGCTATGCCAATTCAGCTGCCAAGTCATCCCTGTTACAGTATTGATGACAAAGAGGGAGTATTTTGTTGGATTTGGCAGTTGTGGCTGGTTACTCAATACCGTGGCATGGTGCTGTGTAGGTGGTTTGTGTGCACTTGTGATTCATAAGCAGTCTTTTATGCAGTCTGCTCTATCTATCTTGTTGACTTCCTGACCACAATGACCTTAGATGATCCAAGGTAAACAAACTCTGTGGTAGTATGACCACGACTGCCAAAACAAGTACCCAGTGTAGAATGTGGTCCCAGAAAACACCATCACCTCCCATCCCTGTCTGCATTTTCCTCCATCTCTTACTAAACGTACCATCTCTTCCCACCTCTCTCACCAAATTTTTTCCAAACAGATGTATTTTGTCTTGTTACAGAAAAATCTTATTTTTAGTACGATGTAGGCCTACACATATGTCTCACTCTAGATTGTTTCTATAGAGCAGGGCTGCCCAACCCTCTTCTGTAGGTTTTCCCACAGGACAGCAGATCTCCAGGAAGAGGGTTGGGCAGCCCTGGTATAGAGTATTTAAATCACAAACACTCAGACAATACCATTTGCACTTACTATTTTATTCATGAAAATGTGTCATTAAAATTAGCAGTAAAAACATTCACAGTCCATAAAACGCATTAGCTCGTACTCCAGATTTGGTGTCCTTGACTGCCACCTATTGGTGGATCTGCAACACAACAATCCAATTTCATTTGCTAGAATCAATATTACTGTAACTTCCCCAAGTAACCTTTATCCAGAGAGAGATGCAATTACAGTATTCTACAGTTTATCAGAGTGATTTCTATCCCACCCTTCAATATTACAACAAGTAATGTGAATATTATGCACATTTTCTGATACCATAAAGCAAGACCATGCATAGTGGTTTCTGCATTAGTTTGATGCATAAGCCAACCGTTTTCCCATTCCCAATGAATAATACACCTACTTCAGTCTTCACACATGCATTTTACATGCAATTTTCCAGCATACTTTGAGATGATTTACAAATAACAATGACAAGCAGGTGTCCAGCACAAATGGCCTATGGGCTACGTTTCCCATAAAATAACACCAGTGGATCAGCAGTCGAGAAAATAGTTTGTCCTGACAATCTGAATGACCTTTCTTGCACTGTAGCTGTATTCAAACTGTGTATGTTCATGGAAGAAATACAAATATCCTGCAAAGAGAAAGAAAGGGTGAATTTGTTAGAGAGAGCTATTTATTATATATTCAAAGCAAATGCAACTTAAACTATATAAGAATATTATTGAAATTAGTGATTTTGATATACCATATTTATATAAGGCAGCATCCACCTCCTCTGCCATTCCAGGGAAATCCTTCTCAATGGATCTTGGGAAGCCACTGTCCATTGTTAGTCTTCTCATCATAACTGTCAATAAGACACAACCAAGACTATAACCTCTAATGAACAGTTATATTTGCAGATAAGATCTCTCAACCAGACCAGACCAGTCCAGGCTAGACCAGACCAAACCAGACCAGTCCAGACTAAGCCAGATGAGTCCAGACCAAGCCAGATCAGTCCAGACCAGATGAGTCCAGACCAAATCAGACCAGTCCAGACCAGACTGAACCAAGCCAGACCAGACTAGATCAAGCCAGTCCAGACCAGTCCAGACCAGACCAGACCAGGCCAAGCCAGACCAGTCCAGACCTAGCCTGACCAGTCCAGACCAGACTAGACCATACCGTTCTACCTCCAGTTATGCTCTTCAGAGAACTGAAGGCTAATTGATCATTAGAAAACCCTTTTGCAATTATGTTAGCACAGCTGAAAAATGTTGTGCTGATTAAAGAAGCAATAAAACTGGCCTTCTTGAGACTAGTTGAGTATCTGGAGCATCAGCAATTGTGGGTTCGATTACAGAATCAAAATGGCCAGAAACAAATAACTTTCTTCTGAAACTCGTCAGTTTATTCTTGTTCTGAGAAATTAAGGCTATTCCATGCGAGAAATTGCCAAGAATCTGAAGATCTCGTACAACGCTGTGTACTACTCCCTTCACAGAACAGCGCAAACTGGCTCTAACCAGAATAGAAAAAGGAGTGGGAGGCCCCGGTGCACAACTGAGCAAGAAGACAAATACATTAGAGTGTCTAGTTTGAGAAACAGACGCCTCACAGGTGCTCAACTGGCAGCTTCATTAAGTAGTACCCGCAAAACACCAGTCTCAACGTCAACAGTGAAGATGCGACTCTGGGATGCTGACCTTCTAGGCAGAGCTGCAAAGAAAAAGCCATATCTCAGACTGGCCAATAAAAAGAAAAGATTAAGATGGGCAAAAGAACACAGAGACTGGACAGAGGAAGATTGGAAAAAAGTTTTATGGAGAGACGAATCGAAGTTTGAGATGTTCGGATCACAAAGAACAACATTTGTGAGATGCAGACCAAATGAAAAGATGCTGGAGGAGTGGTTGATGCCATCTGTCAAGCATGTTGGAGGAAATGTGATGGTCTGGGGGTGCTTTGGTGGTGGTAAAGTGGGAGATTTGTACAGGGTAAAAGGGATCTTGAAGAAGGAAGGCTATCACTCCATTTTGCAACGCCATGCCATACCCTATGGACGGCGCTTGATTGGAGCCAATTTCGTCCTACAACAGGACAATGACCCAAAGCACAGCTCCAAACTATGCAAGAACTATTTAGGGAAGAAGCAGTCAGCTGGTATTCTGTCTATAATGGAGTGGCCAGCACAGTCACCGGATCTCAACCCTATTGAGCTTTTGTGGGAGCAGCTTGACCGTATGGTACATAAGAAGTGCCCATCAAGCCAATCCAATTTGTGGGAGGTGCTTCAGGAAGCATGGGTTGAAATCTCTTCAGATTACCTCAACAAATTGACAACTAGAATGCCAAAGGTCTGCAAGGCTGTAATTGCTGCAAATGGAGTATTCTTTGACGAAAGCAAAGTTTGAAGGACACAATTATTAGTTCTATTAAAAATAATTATTTCTAACCTTGTTAATGACTACATTTCCTATGCATTTTGCTATATTTCCTATTCAAACTCATCTCATGTATGTTTTCATAGAAAACATGGAAATGTCTAAGTGACCCCAAACTTTTGAACAGTAGTGTATGTGGAAAATCATGTTAGGTTGTATTTTCGAGTGGATTATTCCTTTAACTAATTTCTCTATGGCCACCAACTGTCATCCTCTGTCTTGCTCAAAATAACATGGAAGTGTATCACAGTCATGGGTGTCTGAAAGTTTTATAAATAGCCTGTGTACTCATTGAGATGTATGCACATTACCATTTAAAGATACAATATTTAATTCACTTTCTTATGTAAAGCCAAATATAATTGTTTAAATTATAGAGGAATTTAGAGATGTATTTCTCTTTTGAAGAACATAAAATAGTATCAAAAAACGTACGAGAACTGGTCACTTGCCATATGTATTCAGTGAATCTTAAAAACATTAGTCATGGACATTTGGCTCAAAAAATTTACATCACTGCTTATTCATGTGTGTTCAAAGCAGTTTACTAAACCACAAGCACTCCGTTTTCCGACCTAACAGCAGTTTTAGGCAGTCTTTGAGGAGGAAGTGGCTAGGTACTTTTACATGAATCACAGACACTTAGAAAAAAAAACACTCAAACACACACTATAAAAACAGTCTTGGCTCCTGGACCCAAGTCAGTCACTGTGCTGGACGCCACCAAGACAAGACAAGATGGAAATCACAGCTTTACTGCTCCTTGTGGTGGTTGCTCAGTCATTTGCTATGCCTCTGTCATCGCCGGAGGAGACTGACAAGTGGCTATTAGCCGAGGTTAGCCAATTAAAGCTGTGGGTCTGATGTCCTTTTGTTTATCAATGTCTGTTTGGTGCACTGAATATTGATGTTTTTAATATTGATTTTACAGTTATCCTTATACTCGAAGTAAGGATAAATGCAATCATTTATAGTATAAACAAAATTATCATTGTTTTATTTAAACAAAATTGTTAATTGCAGACAAAAAGCCAGACGATGTTGAAATACTATAACCCCTCAAATTGAACCCTGTGTTTCTCTTATGGATTTGCTCCTTAAATGACCACATTTAAATGACATCCATTCCATATGACCATTCTTCAACAGCTCCATGTCTTCAAGGTGTTAACTTATGATATTGTTTTCCTCTTAAGAAATACCTCCGCAGGTTCTACCACCTTGGAGCTGGACTGCAGGGAACACCAACCCACAGGTCGTCAGACAACATGCAGGCTAAGATCAAGGAGATGCAGTCCTTCTTCAACCTCAAGATGACGGGGAGCCTGGACGCTAACACCCTGGAACTGATGAGCATGGCCAGGTGTGGTGTCCCTGACGTGGAGGAATACATCCACTTCCCCCGACACCTCAAATGGCAGAACACCAACGTGTGCTTCAGGTGAGGCTTCTCAAACACTCTGGGTCATAGAGTGTGTCATAAACCTAATTTGGTCATTTTTGATTGTATTGGTGTAATAATGTTAATTTACTGCACATGCACCACATGACCTTGGATACAATGGATATGATCAGCTTTAATTTCTTTGGATAAAACTTGTTAAGTCTCTCTTGAATGAAGATATGTTTCCTCTCTCTTGAATGGTCCTTCAGAATAATGAAATATACTCCTGATCTGAAGAAGGCTGATGTGGACAGAGCTATTCGTAATGCCTTCAACATCTGGGCTGACGTCACTCCTCTGACCTTCAAGAAACTGCATGAGGGGAAGGCTGACATCATGATAGCATTTGAGACAAAAGGTAGACCCATTTCTTTATTCTGTCCTACAGTTGATACATTTCTGTCAGTAAGACTATACAGAATACATGGAGAATATCTTGATTAATTTGATCATCTTACTGTAGTTTTGTTCAACATTCAGTGATCATTGTTTAGAGTTGTGCAATACCCCATCATAGAAGAAATTGACTGAATGCTGGCTTGCTGGCAACACTTACTGAAACCATCCTCAAACTTAATTTTTTTCCTGCCCTTTCCTTGTCTTTAGAACATGGAGACTTCAACCCCTTTGACGGCCCTGACGGTCTCTTAGCCCATGCCCATCCCCCTGGCAGAGACATTGGAGGAGACACACACTTTGATGAAGATGAACATTGGTCAAAAGACTCAGACTGTAAATATTTGGTACATTTATGTAGGGGATCAAGGAAAATGTATGACATTTAATCAATGATTATTTACTGACATATTGCCTCCCCTGTAGCCTACAATCTTTTCCTGGTGGCCACCCATGGGTTTGGCCATGCCCTTGGCTTGTCCCATTCTTCTGATCCTGGAGCTCTGATGTACCCAGTCTACTCCTATGGCCAGGGTTACCCACTGTCTGTGGATGATATCACCGGCATTCAAGCTCTTTATGGTCAGTGTTCCACTTATTAACCCAAACAGAAATAGTTAGAGAAAATGAAATAATTCATATAATTCTACCCACTGGAGTCATATTTTGAAATGTTCATTATGCGGTTCAATTCTATAGGCCCAAACCCCAATCACAGAAAAGTGAAGCCCAAGCCAGATGTCCCAAACAAATGTGATCCCATGTTGAGTTAATGCTGTTACTGAGCTCAGAGGAGAAGCAATCATCTTCAAAGACAGGTAGGGAGTGTGTCCATTCGTGAAAAAACACACCTGTCTATATAAGTTCCCACAGTTGACAGTGCATGTCAGAACAAAAACCAAGCTATGAGGTCGAAGGAATTGTCCGTAGAGCTCCGAGACAGGATTGTGTCGAGGCACAGATCTCTGGGGAAGGGTACCAAAAAATTTCTGCAGCATTGAAGGTCCCCAAGAACACAGTGGCCTCCATCATTCTTAAATGGAAGAAGTTTGGAACCGCCAAGACTCTTCCTAGAGCTGGCTGCCTGACCAAACCGAGCAATCGGGGGAGAAGGGCCTTGGTCAGGGAGGTGATGGTCACTCTGACAGAGCTCCAGAGTTCCTCTGTGGAGATGGGAAAACCTTCCAGAAGGACAACCATCTCTGCAGCACTCCACCAATCAGGCCTTTATGGTAGAGTGGCCAGAAGGAAGCCACTCCTCAGTAAAAGGCACAAGCCCGCTCTGAGTTTGCCAAAAGGCACCTAAAGGACTCTCAGACCATGAGAAACAAGATTCTCTTGTCTGATGAAACCAAGATTGAACTCTTTGGCCTGAATGCCAAGCGTCACGTCTGGAGGAAACCTGGCACCATCCCTACGGTGAAGCATGGTGGTGGCAGCATCATGCTGTGGGGATGTTGTTCAGCGGCAGGGACTTGGAGACTAGTCAGGATCGAGTGAAAGATGAACGGAGCAAAGTACAGAGAGATCCTTGATGAAAACCTGCTCCAGAGCAATCAGGACCTCAGACTGGGGCAAAGGTTCAACTTCCAACAGGACAATGACCATAAGCACACAGCCAAGACATTGCAGGAGTGGCTTCGGGACAAGTCTTTGAATGTCCTTGAGTGGCCCAGACAGAGCCCGGACTTGAACCTGATCGAACATCTCTGGAGAGACCTGAAAATAGCTGTGCAGCAACGCTCCCCATCCAACCTGACAGAGCTTGAGAGGATCTGCAGAGAAGAATGGGAGAAACTCCACAAATACAGGTGTGCCAAGCTTGTAGCATCATACCCGAGAAGACTCGAGGCTGTAATCGCTGCCAAAGGTACTTCAACAAAGTACTGAGTAAAGGGTCTGAATACTTATGTAAATGTGATATTTTTATACAAAAACCTGTTTTTGCTTTGTCATTATGGGGTATTGTGTGTAGATTGATGAGGGAAAAAAACAATTTTATCAATTTTAGAATAAGGCTGTAATGTAACAAAATGTGAAAAAAGTCAAGGGGTCTGAATACTTTCCGAATGCGCTGTACATGCTGGCAACACTGTTCGCATAGTCATCTGTCGTTCTGAATATGCAATTACAGTTCTGCTTTGCTCATTTCCGTCAGGTGTACAGCAGAATCTAATAAAATTGATGTTGGTGCAAGAGGCAAAGGTTAATTTTGTTGACAAATGTTCATATTTTTTCCAGGTATTAGAATGTGGGCCCTGAACGGCTACAGCCTGGTGGAGGGCTACCCTAAATATATCCATAAACTGGGACTCCCCAAGACCGTGTGGATGGTGGATGCTGCTGTTTACATCCCAGACACCGGCAAGACCCTTCTGTTCTCTGAAGAGCATTACTGGAGGTAGGACGGTATGGTCTAGTCTGGTCTGGACTCGTCAGGCTAGGTCTGGACTGGTCAGGCTAGGTCAGGCTTGCTCTGGACTGGTCTGGCTTGGTCTGGACTGGTCTGGTTGAGAGATCTTATCTGCAAATATAACTGTTCATTAGAGGTTATAGTCTTGGTTGTGTCTTATTGACAGTTATGATGAGAAGACTAACAATGGACAGTGGCTTCCCAAGATCCATTGAGAAGGATTTCCCTGGAATGGCAGAGGAGGTGGATGCTGCCTTATATAAATATGGTATATCAAAATCACTAATTTTAATAATATTCTTATATAGTTTAAGTTGCATTTGCTTTGAATATAATAAATAGCTCTCTCTAACAAATTCACTATTTCTTTCTCCTTGCAGGATATTTGTATTTCTTCCATGAACATACAGTTTGAATACAGCTACAGTGCAAGAAAGGTCATTCAGATTGTCAGGACAAACTATTTTCTTGACTGCTGATCCACTGGTGGAGAACTACTGTTATTTTATGGGAAACGTAGCCCATAGGCCATTTGTGCTGGACACCTGCTTGTCATTGTTATTTGTAAATCATCTCAAAGTATGCTGGAAAATTGCATGTAAAATGCATGTCTGAAGACTGAAGTAGGTGTATTATTCATTGGGAATGGGAAAACGGTTGGCTTATGCATCAAACTAATGCAGAAACCACTATGCATGGTCTTGCTTTATGGTATCAGAAAATGTGCATAATATTCACATTACTTGTTGTAATATTGAAGGGTGGGATAGAAATCACTCTGATAAACTGTAGAATACTGTAATTGCATCTCTCTCTGGATAAAGGTTACTTGGGGAAGTTACAGTAATATTGATTCTAGCAAATGAAATTGGATTGTTGTGTTGCAGATCCACCAATAGAAAAGTGGTCAGCCAAAGCCTGTAGATCCACTCTACGGCATTTATCAAAAACCTCCCATGTAGGGTTTTCCAAAAAGGCATCCAAATCAAAAGTAGCCATCTTAAACTAGCAACACAAGCCAACGAATACTGAACACAAAACCAGTTAGTCACAGCTGCCAAGCTCAACACTGAACCAGACACTAAACCAATTTGCATGAGTAGCATGGGTATCATTGAGATATATCCCGGACGAGCCCCCACGTTATGTTACGAACCCCGTGGCTTTAAAAGTATAGGGTGGATGGAAAAGAGACCCGTAACAACATAATTCATGCAAATTAGAATAGTGACACGGAAACAGTGAGGACAAAAATACACCGACAACCACAAGTTACCGTCAAACACAAAATGTTTATTATGAACACACGGTAAAGGTTTGGGAAAAAGGGCTGAGCAGGACCCAAGGAATGAAACAATAATGTCAAAAACCCCTAAACTGATCTTGCCTGCCTCAAGAACCACTAAGCTACTGCTAACCAAACAAAAATACAGTGGGTGGTCCGCTCAGGTCTAACTAGTGTTTTTAGGCAATGTTCTTTCTACGGGTAATGTATGCCCAAGGGCAACTTGCTAAATCCCCCTTTTCCCAGGAACACACAACATAGCTACCATACAGAGTAACCAGCAAATGAGTGAGTACACAAAAAACAGGACACCACAGTATCCATACTCACAATTGAAAAGAGTCTCTTTCACCAAACACAACTGACTGGCTTTTAAAACAATGGGATGTGTGATGTGAGTGAAAAACCAGAAACAGGTGGTGCAATGCAGAGGAAAGTCCACTGATTGGTCCACCTCAGCAATCAGCAGACAAACGGATGTCAGACAGGTGGGACACCCCAACGACCACCAATCAGGAACACAAAGGACACCTGTGATTAGGGCAGAAGGAGAGAAAAAACACAAAAAACACATACAGGATACCTGTATCCATAACAGTGGCAGTCAAGGACACCAAATCCAGAGTACGAGCTAATGCGTTTTATGGACTGTGAATGTTTTTACTGCTAATTTTAATGACACATTTTCATGAATAAAATAGTAAGTGCAAATGGTATAGTCTGAGTGTTTGTGATTTAAATACTCTATACCAGGGCTGCCCAACCCTCTTCCTGGAGATCTACTGTCCTGTGGGAAAACCTACAGAAGAGGGTTGCTCTATAGAAACATCTAGAGTGAGACATATGTGTAGGCCTACATCTGTTTGGAAAAAAATATGGTGAGAGAGGTGGGAAGAGTTGGTACGTTTAGTAAGAGATGGAGGAAAATGGAGACAGGGATGGGAAGATATGGTGTTTTCTGGGACCACATTCTACACTGGTTGCTTGTTTTGGCAGTCGTGGTCATACTACCACAGAGTTTGTTTATCTTGGATCATCTAAGGTCATTGTGGTCAGGAAGTCAACAAGATAGATAGAGCAGACTGCATAAAAGACTGCTTATGAATCACAAGTGCACACAAACCACCTACACAGCACCATGCCACGGTATTGAGTAACCAGCCACAACTGCCAAATCCAACAAAATACTCCATCTTTGTCATCAATACTGTAACAGGGATGACTTGGCAGCTGAATTGGCATAGCTCTGCCATTCTGATGTAGGTTATGACTTTCCCGGCCCTCCCTGCTTGTTTTTACATGGACACATCCTTGTATTGTCATTGGCCAGACAGCAGTTCTTTGTTTACACCACAAGAGGGTGCCACGTCAACACGGTTTACTAAAAGCTCAGGCTGAATCAGAGGAGGCTGGTGGAAGGAGTTATAGGAGGATGGGCTCATTGTAATGGTTGGAATGGAATTAAACACATGTAAACCACATTCCATTCCAGCCATTACAATGAGCGAGTCCTCCTATAACTCTTCCCACCAGCCTCCTCTGGTATGAATGGTGGTTTACTTTGACTCAGCCCCCCCAGACAAAAATGGGATACTCTGAGTAACATGTGTCACTCATTAAATGCTGTGATTCTTACAAGAAAAGCTCTGTGTGTTGAGACACAGCCACAGACCCACATACTATGCCTCTTAGCTCAACTATGGGAATACTGACAACCCTATCAGTGCCAAACTGTAGCAGCATATGTTGCTCAACTGTTCTAGTTCTTTCTGTCAAGCCTTCCATAGCCTACACCTATAGTAAAATGTATAATATCAAGTCTATTGATAGAAATATGTACACTACCGTTCAAAAGTTTGGGGTCACTTAGAAATGTCCTTGTATTCGAAAGAAAAGCCACATCTCAGACTGCCCATCTTAATCTTTTATTTTATTTGGCCCGTCTGAGATATGGCTTTTTCTTTGCAACTCTGCCTAGAAGGTCAGCATCCCGGAGTCGTCTCTTCACTGTTGATGTTGAGACTGGTGTTTTGCGGGTACTATTTAATGAAGCTGCCAGTTGAGGACCTAATGTATTTGCCCTCTTGCTCAGTTGTGCACCGGGGCCTCCTACTCCTTTTTCTATTCTGGTTAGAGCCAGTTTGCGCTGTTCTGTGAAGGGAGTAGTACACAGCGTTGTACGAGATCTTCAGTTTCTTGGCAATTTCTCGCATGGAATAGCCTTAAAACAACATTAACAATGTCTACACTGTATTTCTGATCAATTTTAATGGACAAAAAAATTGCTTTTCTTTCGAAAACAAGGATATTTCTAAGTAACCCCAAACTTTTGAACGGTTTGTTAGAGTGAGCAAATAGAGATTCAATTTAGTAGTTATATTCTTAGTACATGTTCTTGAGGTGAACTGATCAGAAGGGATCCTTTACATAACGGGTATCTGTGATGCATCAGTGAGTCAGCATGAGGCTTCTGATGCCCAGACAGGCTCCGAGACTTTCCAAGGTGGAACCGTTGCGGTCCAAGACTCAAAACAAAAATAGTAATGAAGCTTGTGAGCTTAAGAAGGTTAATCTTTGGGTCCGACCATGTGGATGCAATTACAGAGCAGGCCCCTAGTCTTCTCATTTCCTTGTTAGCTGCGTCACTGATTTCTCTGAGACAGGCTCTGTTGTTGGCCGGTGGTACGTCCCTCTGCGGGGACCATATTTCAGAAGATATAGGAAAATATCCTTAAGGCCTCAAAATGATACAAAACCTGTCCGGTCATGTTTCATATTGCTACCCTCCTGATTCTGACTGATATTGGCCATTTACTCTCTGTCAGTGAACCCAATGTACTGTGGAAATGTAACATGTAGCGCGATAACACAATGAAACACCTAAAGAAAATAACTTTAAAACGAGAGAATGAGTTGTGTTAAGAAAACCCCTCAGGCAGAGTAAAGACCCACAAACCGTTAACTGCATGGAGGTGTTCTATTGTGTCCTGCTGGGAGTAGCTCCAGTCTTGGCACCTCTGATGGAAACCAGATGGGAGGAAAAGAGAGAGAGAGAGGCCATACAATCTCAGGATATGTCAGGAAAACTCCCATCTCAGACCACCACTACTGAGAGTGACGCAAGCTCTTTAAACTTCGACACACTTCCCCCCCCAACAGCACAGTTGGTGGAACTGATTATTTTGACAGTGAGTACGCATCAGGCCTGTTGGATTAGATAGGGTTAGGAAAGAGGGTATGGCTGAGTGTGAGGAATTCCTAGACGACAAACCAACATAACAACCACATAATAACATAACTCTCTTGTGTAATCAGTTTGTCTGAATTATTAAATCACCCCCTCTTAACATACAGTACAAGTTTTATTAATGTTTCTGTCTTCTATGTAATTATGTGTTTTGTATGTACCAATCTGTCACCACACATCAAGTTCCCTATCAGGAAATAAAATAGATTTGAATAAAGCCTGCCGGATTACAAGTACAAACACTTATGCACTCACCACTTTAAGTCGCTCTGTATAAGATCCTCTGCTAGATGACTAAAATGTAAATGTGAATGTAAATTTAATGAGACTATAATCTGCTGTATTCTGCAATACACATATCTGACATGTACTGTATACAATGCCATTCTAAAAAAGTATCCTTTCACACAAAGTGAATTCTAATATGATGCTGACAGAGCCAATAGCTCTCTTTTCCATCAGGCCCATCCCAGCCAGCTGGACAGTTCATGCTCCAGTTGGAGGGAAATTCTAACAGCAATTTTAAACACTGTCCCTGAGTAAGACCCATAGAGAAGAGCCAGAAATTAGACATTGTGCGTTGTACATTACATTTATTTCCCAAAAATAGGGCTTTGACTTTTGACTTGAACTGAAGAGGGTATTACAGAGGCCTTCGTCACAGAGGCAAAGTGGATTATCTT